CAAATTGACGGTACAAATTATTAAAACTGATAATACGTACAAAAAGATAAATATTTCATTACGATATTATAAAACATTATAGACCTATTAATTACAAAGTATATAAAAAAAAGTTAGAGTTATTATTTAATGCAAATTTCTGTTATATATTTTTGAAAGTTTAAAATTTTCTTATTATATTTAATATATTTTCAACATTATTAAAACGAACAAATTATTAACATTAAAATTAAAATTAAATAAGATTAAAAATATGATAGAAAATATAAAATTCTGAATTGCATTCATTTAATATATAAAGAATTTATATGAAAAATATTATTGATGAGATATTAAATAAAATTTTTTTTAATGTTTTTAAATATTTTGTTCATCGAAATTATAATTTCCTATCCTTATAATTTTATATCATATAAAATATTATCAATTTACTAAAATAATATCTACGAAGATAGCAAAATCTCTATTTATCAAAAAATTTATAATCATAAATAATGTATATATTATGATAAAAAAAAGAAAAATAAAAAAATAATGAATATGAATATTGTATTTTAAAATGTAATTTTATTCGTATGCAAACAAAAATGATCCATATGTCGTTGGTATCATTTAGAGTATAATAACGTACACGCACATTTATATAATTTCACATGTTGTCCATTATAAAAATTGTTATATCATTGCAATAAATAGAATTAAATTTTATTTCTTATTTTTAAATTTCAAAGCAAGCACGCTCTTATATACAAAATATTTTTCATAATATTAATATTAGATATATTCGAAGAGATATGAGTATGAAAATTCAAGAAAAATTTTAAAATATGTAATTTGTTCATTTTCGGGAATATTAAATTCCCACAAAAGTTTCGCTATGCGCACTTCTGAGTAAAAATTTCATGATAATTCCTTAATATGTTGATACCATTAATTATAATTATAATTTTATATCATTATTGATGTGCACAATTCACAAAATAAATACTGAGTTCAATTTTTTACAAAATATATATTAGGATATCGCACTTAAGGTAAAGGTACACGATAAAATGCGTAAAAAATATACAATGAGTTCCTCTATCGAGAGGCACTAACGACAAGGAACACAGAATTGTCGCATATAGATCATACATAATTATTCGTTCATTCGCGTATAGGTATCAAATTTTGCACTCAGAAAATTCTTCTTTATCATTTATCACTTGTTAGGCATTTTAATATTAATTTTTGTTAAATAATGAAATCGAGAGCATAAGATATGTGTAAGTATAACGATATTCTCTTTCGTATAAATATAATAATCATATGTCGATTTTTAATACATTTTAACATTTATCTATTAACAAAATTTAATTATATAATATCAGATACATAATTTTTTTAAATTTTCGATAAAACATCGAATCATTTATTTCGTTGAATTATTTTTAATACTGATAAATTACACTAAAATTGCACACAAATAATATTTAATAATTTCATTTTTAATGTTATTAAGATAAATATAATATGTGACACATTAAAGATTTTATGATTCTTCATAAAGTTTATGATATTACATAACAAAGTTATGATATTTACATAACATTTGTAGATTCCCTTACATTATCTCAATATAATTCATACAAGCTTACAACACATTTACATACAATACACATACATCCAATTTTTTTAAGCTAATTTAATTATTTCATTCTATAATTATAGAACATGTGATTAAGATATAAAAAAATAAGATTCTAAAAAAAGATTCTATAGCTTGATAATTATGATCATAGCTAAATTTAAAAAAAAATATTAATAAGATTATAATACAACATGTACATATTCTTTTGTTCTTTATTAATATAACCATTAAATGGTTGGTACATCATTAAATGTTTTTATAGAAAGAGAAACACGCACTTATATGTTGTATTATATATTAATTTATGAATAAGAAAAAAAGAAAATGTAAGAGAAGATTGTAAAAAATTAGAAATATATTAATACGAATATATTCTACATATATTTGACATATATTATAAAATTAATATTATTAATAGATTTTAAAGTATTAATATATGGCATTGATGTCATAGAAAAAATAAAATTTGAGTGAAATTAATAATAATTCAATATTAAATCATAATTTCTAATAAAAAATAATTAAAATTAAACATTTCTTACTATAGTGTCCTATATATTTTAATAACATTATTTTTTTTGTTATTATATTTCAATAATAGAATTTATCAATTATATTATATAACGTAAATATGCGAACATATTCCTCTACATAGAGACAAAAAGCAAATATGTTCATCTATAATTTCATATTACATTTCATATTATATAATTTTATAATTATTAATTCATAATTTCATATTATTTTTGAAGCTATAATTTATATTTATTTACAATTGTATTTATTAATGTAAATATCTATTAGGAAAAAGGCTAAATTGTTGAGTAATCAATTAATTCGAATAGTGGATGGAATAAGAGTATTGTCAATTAAAAATTAGATTATCACGAATTTCTAAGAGATTCCGAGTTCGTACATTTAATTCTCCACTATTCTTTATATTATTCATTAAAATTTTCTTCAAAAAAAAAAAAAAAAAAAAAAAAAAAAAAAAAAAAAAAAAAAAAAAAAAAAAA